GATGGAGTTTGTTATACAGATAGTTGTAGTATTTTAGAAAAGAATTCCTGCAGCAAATTAGACACCTGCTACAAACACTCCATTTTTCTGTCCATCTACAGGGAAGCATCTAGGTGTTTCAGACCTCCTAACCACTCTTACACTTGAGAACACACGTGGATGTGGTGGTGATTACCTTAAGTCTCTACACAGTGCAGAATAATCACTTGCTGTTCACAGCCTTACCTTAATGAGGAAAAAAATGATAATTGAGGCATGATCTCATCAAAGAGGGTTCTGTTATGTGAACTCAGTACCTTGGTATAGATGACCCAAAATATTAGGAGACTTCTTAATAGCCTATGACATTACAGACCACTGTGCTGTCTATCACTCTTAAATCTCTCTGAGAAATGCTAGATCCAAACTTCTTCTCATTTGTCATTTTTTCCATTTGTCATTATGTCTTTTGCTATTTTATAATGCCACCATGTTTCCAGCACGGAATTCTCTTCCATAATAGTTGTCTTTAGCATTCCCACACAATCCTAGTTTACTACTACATGTGAAAATCATCAATAGATTATTTACTTTCTCTCAAATCTCTAATGAAAATAATAAATGACATTACAGATAATTCTAAACTCTGAAGTACCCCACTAGACAACTCACTTTGTTTACAGTTATCAAATTAAGTTCATCATTATTCTAGTCAGGTATCATTTCACACTAAAAGACTCAAATCCAAACTTATACAAAAATATTCCACAACCAGATCTACTTGACTAGATTCTACACTCGCATGGAGCTCAGAAAACAAACTACCTACATGTAAACTCATCCAATGTCATAACATTCAGATTATCTATATCACCTCTAAGAATAACTATTCCATAGGAACTGAGTCACCTGGAGAAGTGTAACATCCGGTAAGCTATAAATCAGCCATAGTCAAAGCCTGCTCTCTCCCCACTAGTTACTGCTGCAAGGCTAGCAAACACATCGCATCTAATATGATGCAGAAAGGCTTTCATAGCTGCAAACTTTTATTTCCCTGTATCTGAGACTATGGGTTTTCCAGTCCTGATGAATTAGGGCTATTTTCCACATACTTCCACTAAAGATGCAAAAGTTATTTCAAGAGATAGCTAAACGTAGCCTATAGCCACTAGCTAACCATGACAGAATTACCCCTAGAACCTTCCAACAAAAAAGTAAAAAATAGCAGTTAAATTAAACAAAGACTCACAAAAGGATATAAAGTCAGAAGACAAGAAAATAAAATCCTTAGAAACTTTATAAAAGCTATTCAAGTATCCAATAATCAAGTTCCAATACATGCTATAGAAAAGAAGCAAGAAAGTAATAAGAAATTGGCCAAACCACAGTTCAGTGCTGTGCTGTGTGGTTTGAAAGCCTGCTCCTGAACACGCTTTCTAAAAGTAGAGTAAACCTTAGTGGCAAGAACATTACAGATCAACAAAGCAATCATAGCAAAACACTCTCACCAACCATAATCCAATACAACCTTCAGTGTTGGTGTGTCAGGAATAAGCTCAGGAAGAAGGGTTTGCATTTATTGTAAGCTATAAAAATTTCTAAATCTCATTAATAGTATTTTTTTTCCCCCGAAGGCATCTCATATAAATAATTACAAAGATTCCTGTTTACAAGGCAAGTTTTAGTCACAAAATTTTGGTCACTTCTGCAATATTGTGAATTTGATGTTACTGGGCGGAAGATTTTTTTTTTAACAGTAAAGTAAAAAGTAGAATTCTAAAAACTCATGGTTTCTCTGATTCCTTTCACATAACAGACTTGGGAAAAAAATCTCAGTTACTTCTTTCCTGTACTGGAAAACATCAGTGTGATTTGGAGAGGTAAAAGATGATTTACTGCTTTGGGGAGGGGGCAGAGATGAGAGAAGGAGATCACAAAAGCCAGTATGTCAGGCAAGGATCAGTAAACTCCCTAAGGCATGCATGCGGAATGAATTATGAACTGGGGAACATCCAAACACACCTTCCTCTCATGAAAGCTGATCTCAGTCCCAAAGGATGGAGAGGGCATTTACAGTAACATACAGCCTTCAGAGCAGCTCTGATTGCCTAGCCGGCGTAGTGCCGAACTCTGGTGAAGTGTATCACCGGCAAAATGCCTGCCAATGTCCATAAGAGACACAAAAACAAGAATTGTTTAAACTATGGAATGGTGCCACAAGACTCCAGTCGTGCAGAGCTAATAGATCAGCTGCTGCTACCTTGCTTGTCCAAACACTCAGCTGAGGTTACAGTTTCTCACTTTTTTTTTTTTTTTTAAAAAGATATTTATCTTATCATAGGAGCCTAGGATCGTCATGCAACATTTACAAAAGTAAAAATGATATGGGCTGTAAAGAAATGGTTCCAGCTACATCTAGGATAATCAGATACCTTTGTCCAAATCAAAGCATCATTGTTTTCTTTAACAAGTCCTATGTCTAGGTAGCCTACAGTTTCCCCAAGCCCTCTCACTCTGAAGAACAGTTGCACGACTTTATCATAAATCATTTATTTTAATTCTAATTATTGACAACCTCCACTGAGCCCAATTTTTCCCCTCTTAAAGGAGACTCGTCAGTAAGCAGTTGGATTTTTCTCTTCTAAAAGCCAAATTAACAATGCAAAGAGTTTTGTTTTTTGTTATTCTTTATTTCTAAATCAAAAAGTTAGTCTCCTTAATGCATATTAGAAAAAAAAGAAGGAAAAATAAAAGGAAATATTTTTGCAGTACATTAATTTGGCATCTGCTACTTATCTACATCCGTAGCCCGTTGTGACATATACCAGTGTAAGTAAAGTCACAAATAGCCTTCAGAGTGAGAAGTTGCTACTGATTTTAAGGTGAAAACTGAAAACGACACTGGAATCAGATCCCCCCCTCCCCCCCGCCATGGAATAGCTCTCTGAAATGGATTCTCAACAATGGCTTTAAATAATCGCCACTGAACATAGGTCATCAACTTGATACTGTTTTAGTACAGGGCAGCTTCTCATTTAATGTTCAGTAAAACACTCTCACTGTACAGGGGAGAATAATTATAAAATTAAAATGGCTGTAAGACTCCTCCTTTCACGCCAGCCTCCATGAGATAGCAGAATAAAATCCACAAACAAAACCTGGCAAAAGTCTTAGAGGGGAGGGACAACAATCATTTGGTTTTCCTCGTCCACATTGTATTAACTCTCCAAATAACCAAGACATCTTCATTTTGTTTTCAGAAAGGCAGTCCAATTGCCTTCGGTAATAAGGGCCAAATCTTTCTGACCTGTTGAATTAACCCTTTAGATAATGGTTCTCATCTAGTTCTTTCACAGAGCCGAATGGTGAACAATGAGAACAGAATAGCTTCAGATATTGTAATAATCCTCAATCTGAGCTTGACTTGTTCATTTTCTTATTTTTCACAGACTCTTATTTTTCACAGCTATTATTCTCGTGAACTTATTTTTCTTGAAATAAAATTCCTTCTCTTCCTTTATTTATGACCGTTTGTCAAATGTCTCTCGCAATGCAAAAGTCTTTAGGCAAGAGCTATAAGCATACCAAAGCTTTTAATGAAATTCTGATGCTTGAGACCACAAATTAAGTAATTGGGTTGAAAAACTGCAGTATAAAATAAAGGTCAGAAAGAGCTTTCTACAACCTTAAGTGGGAAATTTACAATAAGAAATGAGCAGCCAGTGTGGAGTATTTATAAATACACATACATGTATATTTCCAGGCTGTCAGTTTTTCCCAGCTGCTCCTTTCAAGCTGAGCATCAATTAGAAGTATATCTCCCCATCTGCCTCCAGTTAAGCTACTGGGAAATGAGCCTGTGTCTCAGACATTTGTGAACTTTAGCTAACATCATTTTTTCTTGATATACTAGAGGTCTCATACTTGATTTCCAAGCCCCATTGTGCTTTATCCCCTTAGGCAGTACAGTCTTACTCATCATAAATATAGATTTCTCTTTGAACTATAAAGGCAAAAAAAGTATTCCACATTTTCAAGTGATATATCTTTGTTAACCAACCCTAATAAACCCCTTAGTTATTTACCTAACAGCCATTTAAACACGTGGTAAAGACTTTGCAAGTTAACTCTTCAAGTAAAGTGTTTTTTTTTCCTCTCTAATTTGTACAGCTGAAGTGTAAACTATGCATAGAAGACATCTTCACATAGGTACACACTTGGTGCAGGGGTATGTACATGATATAGGATGGGGACATGACTTGTTCCTTTGTAGTTTTACTGTAAGAGCACAGTGAATAACGATTGTAAAAAACATGGTAGAAAAACAAAACACTAACAGATAAAATTTGTTCCTCTTAACATTAAAGAACACCATCAGGTATGTCCCATATGTCTGAAGAGCAAAGATTGGGAACTTGAGAGGAGATAGAACTAAAAAGAGAAAAAAATTGTATAATTGTATGGAATGATGCAAGTTATTTACATATCTCAGATGTATTTAATCATGCAACACAGAAGTAGAAAGTTCAAGGGACTGTAACTAACAAAAAACTAAAGCAAAAGTTTAAGCCTGTAGCACTAATCATTCTAAGTAATGATAGTAAAAATGCCCTTTCCTTTATATAGTCCTGCAGAAAACAATGTGGGTGCATTTATTTAACAATTTCCCAACAAAGCAATATTGTTAAATTTGTATAACTCCAAAGCAATAGATTTTCATTCACTTATGAAACTACAGAAGAAGAGTAATGACTTATTTTTATAAAACTTAGTAATAAATAGATATAACTATGTCATATCTCCATTGTAATTACACCTGCACGACAACTCTCTGAGACCAAAATACAAAATTCCTATGCACTGGAAATTCTGCAGGACGGATTAATGTCCAGCTGGATATCTAGCACAGTCTAATTATCTACACATAACAAGATGGTGCCTTTCACAATTTTGATTTTAGAAGATATTTACTGTGATAAAATTTCATTATAACAGGATTTCTCTCTGACGTGAATTCGATAATGGTTTCACTACTCCAAGATCAATCTAATATTAAGTTTTCCTCTTCGGACACTCTGGAAAGGGACCAACAAGAAGACCTCATGAAGACACAGGGGGATTCAGTATCCCCAGTTCAGCAAACTGTGAGTAAAATGGGCCAGTTCTGTTCTTTTTCCTCAGAGGCACAAGCTCAGATTGAATATTCAGCAACTGCTATACTAAATCTCAACATGCTTAACAGGCAACAAAGTAAACATTTAAAGTGTTGGTTTTGAAGTGTAGAAACTCTATTTATTGTTCTGAGATAACGTTAAGCTCCATGGTAAGCTTCCCATGTGGTTCCTAGTAATTAAAAATAAACAGGTAAAATAAAAAAAAATTGTTTTAATTCCTAGTAATTAAAATAAAATAGGCAACCTAACTAGCTACTAATCAAGTACAAATGCTACAATTAAAGTAATTCATATCCTGTTTCTAAATAAAAATAAAAAGAGAGAAAAATAAGAACACTGTTGTCCACTCTCTGCCAGGGGAAGATACCTTCAAGTACTTCAGAATCCTTTGCATTTTGGGGGGAATTAAATGATCTCTGTCTTAGTGCCTAAATATTCACCCTGTTTACCTTTCACAAAAAAAGTACAACTGACAATAAGGTTCTTTTGCTGCTCTAGTGTGATATGTCTACATAAACCACCTGATTTGGTATTTTTTGTCAAACAATAGCAAAACAACCAATGTTGTACTTCTGTTATGAAAACTTTAGGTGGAGAACTGACAGCACTGCCATTCATACAGCTTTACACAAGTAAGCATAGAACCTTTTAAAATTATTATTTAAGACAAGATATCATAGACACACTTATTAGGACTATAGAGGAGAACAAGCAGGCAGGAGTTAAGTTAGAAACTTAAGCAAGTTTGTTTTTATTTGTGAAGCCAAAAATGCAATGAGGACAGATTCACTCTTTGCAGGTATCCATGATAGAGCAAAGTTCCTAAATTAATATCTTTGACCTACAGGAAATTAGATACACGTTTAGAAATTAGGAAAAAATGGTTGTTTATTTACACACAGACCCTGGTGTAGATGAATGAAAAAGCCCCGCCACGTCCCACTCTGGAGAAAGCACTGTTTTTTACGTTAACTTCCCTTTGGGACTTCTTGAAATCTGGTCCTTCATGAAGGGATACATTCCTTACATATCGTAAGGGCCAATGTGAATTTAGAGAGGGTAGCTGAAAAAGGGACCATTTGATAATCTAGTCTATATCACAGAACATTACATTTCTTCTTGTACTAAACACAATAACCTACTTTTGACTTTTGAATGTCTTCTCAAAAGGCATCCAAGCTGTTATTCATCCTTAATGTTAGGGAAAACATGCATAATTTCTAAGCTGAAAGCATTCAGCTTCAGGATCCAGACACTAGCTCTCTGCAAGCCTTTCTCCACTAAATTAAAGAGCCCTTTAGTAGCTGGGTGGGGTTTTTGTTTGTTTGTTTGTTTGTTTGTTGCTAAAGTGCACAAAGAAAGGGAGCAGATGAGAAGGGAAGATGGTTAAAATGTCTGCCTAGAGCCTACATGTCTCACTGAACGAGTGTGGCCTTGTTAATGAAAGGAAGTGATGTAACTGACAATATATCTGGCAACTTGTAACATCATCAGAGAATGGGATTAAGCCTATTTGAATAAATTTGTATTTGACAAGGCTTGAACTGACCATATTCCTGTCATTTAAGCTTTCATCACTTGATCATGAGCTTTTCCCTGAAACCATCAGACCAACTAGTCAATAGTTACTTAAGACATCCTGGTTTTCCTAGGTAGTTAGATAAATTAGGACTATTTCAGGCTTCTGAATTTTTAGTAATTTACTTTTGATCGGTTTTGCATATAAGGTCATCAGAGAACTCTTAAGATCTTTTAGGACTTGTCTATGCAAAGGTGGCCAGGACTAGTAATTGTATAATATTTATCAATAATACATATTTTTAATTGACTGGAAAATATTTGTTCATCCTAATCCTAAATAAATGCCAATAATTCATTGCAGGAAAATCCCAGTTATAATTGCCAGTCATATGACTCAGACGGCAGGACAGAAAGGAAGAGTTCAGAGTCTTCTCACAGCCCCAGCCCTGCTTCTCCAGCACAGGATCAAATTCATACAAGATACCCTACAAGCCAAGGAATTCACTGTGGCAAGAACAAATTTAAGGCCACTTTCAGTACTGAAAAATTCAGAAGGTACAGTTACGAGGAAAGTACTATAGGAAATTATGACAGGTTTCTCAAGAGCAGCAGAAACCCCTTTCACCCTTACAAGAGGCAGATCAGTGAAGATGTCTTCCAGGAAGTACATCAGGCCCTCCCACCAGAAGGTCCACCCTTCAAAAATGCTAGAAGCATTGACGGTTTTGAGGGTCTACCGGGATCTACAGGCACTGAGGAGTCAGAGTCATTTCCTACACACATTCCAAACATCTCCACAGAACAAGCATGGTGTAACAACCTCCAATACAGCACCACAAGTCAAGATCACGGTTCACAAGTCATGGTCAGTATTTTTCCTAGTTCTTTGTTTTTCTGTTTTCAAGGGAAAAAATATACTTTTGGAGCAGTTATGTCAACATGACTACATGGACATTTAGTCTTTATCAAGTTGTAGGCCAGAGCTCAGGATAGACATCTGTATTCGTTGGAGTTCTCTACTGTATTGCCTTTTCCTCCTGAAAACCAGTCCTCAGAAAGGTGTATAAGGATGAATGATTTTCTGGTAAACATAATACATGGTCCTTAAATATCCAAATTCTTCCTGACAACAGGTTTTATCTCAGTAATTGTCATCAACTAGTGCTTTCAAGGGACAAAATTTACAAAATAGTTTTTTTCAAGCACAACAAAATACGTATCTGAGAACACACGCAGATTTATTACAACTGCCTTAGCTGACCTGCATTTTTCTGGCCGCAAACAGAGGAGAGACTAAGACATCAGTACTAACAGTTAAATAAAAGATTAAATAAAAGACAGCCTGCAGATACTGGAAGCAGTCTGTCTAGGGCAGCACAGAGATCTCTGAAAAGCAAGGTAAATGACCTTTCCGTATCTCCACAAGGTATCGCTGCTGTGATCCAGTGTAAAGTCTATCTTCAGAATCTAGGGCAGAGAAAAAATAATAACTACATCTGCCAGGAGAGGGCCCTAACCACTGGCTCTAAACCATTGTGAGGCAAAAAAAATTCAAGGGTCACTGGAAGAAAGGGGGGGGGGTCTTAAATGGATCAAGATAACTTACCAGGGATGAGGGGGGAATGCCAGGGTACATACCTGGGGAGGAGACGGCGACTGAAGCCATTCAGGCTGAGGAAGAAATTGATCAAAATCTCTCATTTCCTGGATAAAGAACCTATCCTCCAGATCAGACAAGTTTAATACAAAACCTATGAGCAATTGTTAAAAAAATTCATGTTTTCTTCCCAAATCCCTGGGCTGCAATATGTAGAGAACATAAAGCTAGCACTGCAGGTATGCTTTACCGAGTATTACCTCTGACTACCCAGGAAGAAACTGGCTACTTGTTGATGTGTCCACTGGTTCAGTCAGCATGCAACTTCAATGCTCCTAAACAGGTTACACACTGCTCCACAAAGGCAAGTTGCTATTTCTGAAAAACTTCATCTTATGGTCACCAAAACAGTATGGGCATTTACTAATATTGAACATTGCATTTGCGTGGTGCCATGATAGTGGATCAAGCCTAATATGTACTCCTACAGTAACCCATACTACAAAAGGTGGTCGTTACAGACTTACGTTAAGTAAAAGGATAAACACCATTCAGCTCCTTGAAATAATGCATGTCCGCAGCACCAGCTCTTAGAAGAGAATTCTTGGCCTTGGATGTTAAGTGGAGGAAAGAACCTTAAGTCAAGTCACCTGAACTCTGTAGAAGGACACTACTTAAGATACATCATTCTCTGCAGTGTTATTACCAGCGAGCTCTATCTAGCTTTCTGCTTAAGATGCAGGTTGTTTGAATTGCTCTTCTACAGCAGATAGGGTTTCCACACACACTTTATATGGTGCACTCTACACTCTGCCTAAAAGACATCAATATCTAACATTCAGGAGTCTGAGCTCTTTGCTGAATCAAGCCCTAACTATGTGCAATCTAGGACAGAGACCTGGAAGGACATGCAAGAAATTAAGACTTGATCAACTTCTCTGTGTTTATTTGTACAGTTGCAGGAAAAAAAAAGTGTTCTTACTATATTTTCTATAACTTAATCAAATTCAATAGTTAGCCTAGTTTGAATCTTCTCTGCCACCTCTTTCTCATGTATTATAGTCCTCATTTACCCTCTACTTAATGATTCAACTCCAGTGTTGTCAGCTTGACGTACTTACAGTCTGCAAGATAAATTCAAGGAGTATGAAAAAGAGAGAGACAGAGAGACATGTGCACACTCAGGAATGAAAGCTGGAGCATGCAATTTGTGTAAGTGGGGGAAAAAAGATAAACAGAAACTGGCATTTTCTCAATTGTTCTTTTTATAGAATTTTAACTGTGGTTTCCTTTTTAAAGTAGTAATTATATAAAGGCAGGAAACAGTGTTTCTCCTTGTACCTCCAGAATATAAAGCCCATTCTAGGTAATACTTGCTGTATGTAACAGAATCAAGTCCAAATAAGTAAGAAGTATAACTAAAGATATATCAGGACAGTAACTGACAGGATTTTATTTAAACTTCAATGTTTTCTCTAGTAACACCTTCCATAAATATTTTCTAGCAGGATTCAGACATCAAACTTAGGACATCCCCACTGGAAGGGCAACCTGGTCTGTATTGTTATCAGCCTCAAGTGCAGCAGATGTATTGCCCCTCTCATCCTTTCCATCAGGTCAGTGCAATATGTAGATAGAAAAAAACCTGTATTTCTTGCACTATAATGGTATGTTAATTGTGCTAATAATACAAAAGGGCACATGAAACAATATATACTAAATTTGTATTTGCTGGGAAGTTCATGTTTGTGTAGGTACATTTTGTTTATGACAAGAAGATCTTAAGAGAATCACATCTAAATGCATTTAAAAATGCTCAGCCAGAAAAAAAATAATTTGTAAAAATAGAATCTTGATACTGCTTATTTATATTTTCAGCATCATGCTCAAGAAAATTAGCTTTGAAACCAAATGAATTGTTTTAACTGTTGGCATTTCAAGACCAGAAGGAATTAACTGTGCTTTAACTTCAAAAAAAAATGTAACTCCATATTTAAAATTCAGATCAAACATAGAAAACACTTTTAAAATAAAACTTCAACAGCAAGATGATACTCTCCTTCCTGGTGCTTGATGGCATACACATTTCTTTTGCAGTCTTTTGACTGTTACATCATCCCCAGGGTAAGATTATTCCACTGAAGCATAACTGACAGTAGTGCTGATGATGCATGAGACTGCACAATATTAAGGCTGTTCTTTCATAAAGTAGCAACATCATTAGTGCTACAAATGTACAAGAGTAATGACCACCTTCTTTTGGAAAGTGTGCTTAGATGTCATTTGAATATATGCCAGCTCACATTTCCAAAGCAGTATACATGGAGTGTATTTGTAAAATCATATGTATATATCTTATTTTATGTATCGATGCTTGTACATATTTATAGAGGTTAGTGAGTATGGTGCACTGAGCTTTGAAAATCTGGCATGTATGGGAGAGTATGTATTAAATAAAGCCATTTTCATGACTCTAAAATCTCTTTAAATCATCTCATAAATGGTAGCACTTTTCAAAGAATTGAATTAAGATAATTTTCCTCAAGTATGTGCAATGTATAAAATTTCCAGTAAGAAAGTTTTTTGAGCAGACAGAAATATGCTTGACAAAATATACTTACTACTAAAAAACTTCACATTTACTTAAGGTGAAATTAAGGAAATGAGGATTTTTCAAAGCTATAGGTAGAAATCCATATACAAAAATAGCATAGCTATCAAAAATCTCAACCATCAGAATTGAATTAAATTAAATTAACAGGAAATTGATATATAAAATATTTGAATACAAAAGCGCACAGTTGAGTTAGGACTCCTTGCATCCTAGCAGCTGATGAATGATATTGCAGAATCAACAGTATCAACTTGCTCAAGTAGTATAAAAAATTGTAACTAACAGAGCAGTGATTTATAACTGCATAAAGAAAACATAAAAACAGGTTACTGTGTGATACTTCATTGGGACTGTTAATTTGTATGGTGTTACTGGGCTAAGCCATTGAAATAGTAATCATACCATTCATCATAAATGCAGCCTCTACTGAGGAAAAAAAAGAGTTTTTTTGCCATGATTTTGGTTTAAGAGAAAAATTAAGTAATTTTTGCCTACAGATGCTGAATGACCATAAAGAACAAGAATGGCCATATGCAGGAATTTTAAGATTATTGATAAAATTGTCTGTCACGGATGAATTTTTAGGAATTTTGTCTTCTAGAGTTTTATAAAACATTACTAAGGAAGTATGAAAGTATTCCATACCTAAGCAACGAATTTCCACTTTTTAACAGTAGAGTCCTTGTACTTATAAATCCCTCACCTATCTACTGAAACTTAAAATGCCTCATTATTACAGTATATAATCCCTCATATGTAGAGAGGAATAGAAGAAGTACTGAGTAACTGTATCAATCACTTGGAGAGCCTCAGGGGTCTTTAAGGCCTTTCTGAACTTCTACTGTCTGGGAAAGTTAAAATAATCAACAGGATAAAGTGGCAAGGCAGCTCAATAAACAGCCTTAAATACCAAAACTTGCATGTAGCAAACTTCTAAAATCAGGTTCCTATCAGGTTCCTGTCATCTTTCTCTTCCTACTCCCTCAGCTGTGGTCTGCACCTGTCCATTAACTGGACATTGTATTTAAATTAGCTTAAGAACCTGAGGGCACAGAGGTTCTCTTCAACTATGTGTTTTTGCAACCCTTTGCACAATGACAGGCCAATTTGCTTAGGGTGGCCAGGTACTACAGAAGTTCAGATAGCTGGAATATGAACGGCTTTTTGTATCCACAGTTCTCTTTTAAAAGACAACTTTGTAAAGTTTAGGAAGTGTACAGAAGCTATTAGATTTGGGAAGGCACAGATAACAGAGAAGCAATTCTCATACATGGAGTCAAGATATACGCTAGAGAATGATATCACTCTTGGTTCTTTCTTTTACCTGTCATTCAAGCTTTCCACTAGCCAGAATATCCTGAACCTTATTTTTTTTTGCTAAAATGTGGCAGAAAAGTAATGATTTTTTAAAATTCTTATCAACACCATCATAATTAATTTACCTGTTTTTCTTGCTAGCCTTAAATCAATAGAAGTGATAAAGGGTAATATTAAAATAGAATAAAAAGAAAGATATTATAACCACAGTCCTAATCTACAAATACTGCCTTTTTTTTTTTTTTAATGTTAGAGGAAACAGGTCCCAAATCAAAGACTAAACTTGCCACAAATGCTCTGCTACAATTATAAACTAGGTCCCCCCTGGGATTGCAGCATAGACATTATTATTGTGCCATAGCTCCATACATCTCACATATAGCATAGATGTCAGGTTTGTGTGTTGCTTTTGCAGAAACTCCAATTAGTTTGTTAACTCCTTTGAATATTTTTTTATTTCTTTATTCATTCTGAAGCAGGCACCCTTCCCCTTGCACTGCTGATTTGATACCCATACTATTACTACACATTGGTATTAACCACATTCAAAAAACTACAATGTTACAGCTGAAACACACCTTCTGGGAGTTGCTAGGCAAAATACAACAAGGTCTACATCAGAGGAAGTCTGCCATCCACCTGCAGGCTGGCACTGCGCTCTTGCGTGCAGCGCGTTTCTGTTAGACTTTTCAATATTTGTGCTTATTTATGTTACTGTAGTAAAAGCATGGCAACATGTTCTACCGCTCAGAGAAGAAAATGATAGATACAAGCAACCAAAGTAGTAACAGGTAAAACTACTGACCACCTGCTATACATACTAAGAAATGACAGAGCATGTGATACAAGACTGAGAAGAAATGGAATAACATGTTTCACATGAAGCAGCTCCAGTATTAAAATGTTCCAATTCAAATTGGAATGGAGCACAGCAATCTGAATCACTGAAAAGTTAAGTAGAAGAGAATGGGCCCTCTAGCCTGGAGTGAAGGTTGTCCAACCTATGCCTCACTTTTCATCAGCAGAATGAGAGATTGGTTCCTTCATTCATTTTATCCAAAAGATAAAATGGCCTGACCTTCCCCTTTGCTGGACACAACCCAAATGATGACTCATAAGGAGAATAACTTCTACTGACCTGAAAGAAATAGCAGACCTTTACTTAAATTACTTACCCACCCACCATAAAAGTTTGACACCTTTCATGCCAGTTGTGCGACTGTAAAACCAGCTCAAGCTTGTCGTACCAGACCATCCTCCAGCCTCTGTTCCTTCAAATAGGCATAATGAAACCAATAAAAGAGAAATAACCCTTAAAGCACCTAGTTCTTGCCTCTGGTGATGACATCACAACCAGTCACATCTTAGTTTCCTTTCCTTCCAAAGAGGCATTGAAATGAATAAAAATCAAAATTATTGTATGAAGTGCCCAATTTTGTACTCTGGTAACAAATGTGAACACAAAGCAATAAAGCAGACATCATGGATGTGTGTGCAGAAATTAATTTAGAGCTGTTCTGGAGACTGCTGTTTTGCCCAGTATTCAGTCTAACATGGCAGGAAATCATCAATTCTGTATGTCTCGTTTCTTTCACCCTGCTCACTGTAGCAAAGAAGTTAGTATGTTTGGTATGGTTTTCTACATTCCATTCCATTGGAGGTTCCATATTTAGAAAGATCATAGCAAACCAGCAAATATTCAAGCAACAATCAAAAAATTTTCTGAGAAACTGAAATAAATTATTCAGAATAAACTGAATAAAACTGAAGGAATAAATTTTGCAAGTACACAGTAACCACTCATAGGCATTTTAAAGGGATGAAGACCAAGAGCAACAGAAGCTGTTAGTCCAAAAATAAGAATGATGGTAAGAAGCAAAGGAGAAATGTAAACTAATTACCAAGAAATTTTTCTGACAACTCTGGAAAGCTACATTATAATCTTTCAGAGGAACCATAAGAACCTCATGACACAGGACTTCTAGAACTAAGCTGCAAAACGCTAGAACAGGGCTCGGCAATCTTTGAGTTCTAGGGAAGGTATGCAGGCAGATTTTTAATAGCATATCACATGACTCCTAATTTTGGCCATGCCCTAATCCTGGCATCTTGAAAGACTCATCTGTAAGAAGCAGAAATCCCTCTCACACCAAGTTCCAAGTTCAGAGGGATCTTTTGCCTCACAGAGAGCCAACTGATGGTATCTTACCTTAGCGGGGCAGCGTTTCTTTGCTCTTGAAAGTTGCTTGCTGGTAGGGTTTAAACTGTAATTTGGAAGAGAAAAATATATAACCAACTGTTGTGTTAAAAAATATATAATTGAGAACACTCTTGCAGAAACTGTGACACAGTCAAGGGTATCTATAGGTATTATCTCCCCTCTTGCACCTAATTTTTTCCGTTAGCATATTTCTCTCATGGAGCTATCACGATAGGCCAGCCATTGCTTTAGTATGTCTTGAGAGGTGGACAGGCTTAGAGATATTGGAGAGAGAGCTTAGCGTTTCAGTCTCAGGTAGCATTCTGCTGTTGTCCCGAGAGATGGAGTGAGGATAGCATAAATACTGTCTTATTTTAGGTACCTCAGTTATTCTTTTTAGGTTTCTGATATAGAAAATGGAGAAGAATAGATTGCTTGAGATGGTATTAAACAGCACTTAAATTTAACTCCTGCTTTGACCTGCTTCTTAGAGAAGTCTGTTTCTTGCCATTGACTGTGAAGGGAAGCTACACAGGTTAGCCTCAAATTCAACACGAAGTCAGACAACATGAAAATCCACTTAGACTGTCAGAGGAAGAAGTGCCTCATATATCACTCTCCTGTCTCATGAAATGACATTACTAACTTATTTTATAACACATTCATTTTAATATATACCCTAATACCATTCATCCACTAAAGCTTTTTTTTTTTTTTTTTTTTACACTGTCTTGCCAGATATCCGCAAATAAAATGGATGCTTTTCTTGGGAATAGATTTTACACACTTCGGATTTTTATCATGGTGCACTCCTCTTCAGCCTGGGGTGGGGGAAAGGAGGGGGAACCACCCTTTTGTTTGACTTGGCATAATAGCTATTAAATGTAGGTGGATGACAACATCCTTAGAATTAAAAAGTTCAATACTGTTATTAACAATAAAATATTTTTGAGAGCTTGCTGCTAAGCCAAGTAACGTCTCTTTTATTGTATCATCAGTATCCCTCTGGAGGTAGCTATCCTGTGACTTATATTGCCTCTTCACACTACCCTTACCAAAGAATTGCTCCTCAAAGCAGTCAAGAATCCCAGCAGCCTCTATTTCCCAAACCCATCTACTCCTACAGGTAATGAAGCATTTTTTCGAGTCCTAATGTTACAAGAAATACACTGTTTACCCATGGCATATTTCCAGCATAATTTGCAATAACATGCTTGCTCTTATTTGTCTTGTTCCCAGTGTGCTCTGTCCTGTTTGTATGAATCACGGGATGTTCCAGACTCTGGGGCCAAGGCAAAGGGAAATGAAATGCTATAAAGCATGTGAACAATCTCCAATCACCCCCACAAAAACTATACATTTTTCTAATACAAAATCTTAGGTGTTGCAAACTTCATCAGCACAAGTCTAATCACATTTAGTAGTATTTTACCAAGACCTGAATTAAAACTGATTCTTTTTCCAATTATTAGTGCCAGAGAATGCATAGAAAATATGTCAGATATGCTAGTCACTGCACAGGTTTAGCCCCCAAATGGCAGTCTAGCAAAGCAAATCAGACAATTAAATTTTAATTGTACCTTGTGTCACTGTCAGTTTGATATTCTCATGGTGGCTTTTATCAGTTTAAGCGTGTAAACACAACCTTAGAAAACCACACTTGCAGGATTTGAAGCCTGTGGCCTTGATTCCACTATCTATTAATTTATTTTAAACTTGAGTCAGGCTCTCTATATGCACTTTAACAATTACCTCTAAAAGACATGCAGTGTAAGGGTACTGCTTATAAACAGCTGAATGGAAATTTTAAGCGTCATCGGTGTTATTGCTATAAACAGTGAAACTCAGAGTAATTGCATGCACTGTAAAAATATTGACTCTTCAGAAGTAGAAAAAAAGACAAGCAGAATAAGCTAAAATACTTTTCTTTCTCTCCCTTAAGCATCCTGATCTTCATGGCACTCAAAAACAGCAAGACAGGAAGCTTGCCAGTCAGTGAGATTTACAATTTCATGACGGAACACTTTCCTTACTTTAAGGTGAGTTCTGCAATTAAGGGAGGGATAGAAAAGAAAGAAAAAAAATCTGTCTCTCATAATCCCTGGTCTGAGAGGGGATAAGGGAGGGGATTCAATCTATGAAAAGGTATAATTTCTTACCAGATTAATATCAAATCAATTATACACTATACATCTCCATGTTCACGGACCGGCCAAGATTTTATTCTGAGCCTAGGCAGAATATATGAACATAGTATGTGGTAATACTTAACACAAAGAGATATTAAGAACTGCTCCAACCTGGAGTTTGTGTAGAGAACAAGCAGACAGTTAGTTCCTCACCAGCAATTCACAAAAAGGATGGTCTTTTTTTAAAAATACATCCATTCCTTGCTCTCAGACCTCAGATCCAGGCAGAACTGGTCTCGTGGGTTCCTCTGCCTTCAATAGCACTTCCAGACTCCTGTGGAAGCAGAGGTTCAAAGTTATCTCTGCTCTGTTCTGAAGCTGGGATATCAGTCTTAAGCAACTTCATCACTTGCATGCACTGTACAAAGAAAAGCATACTCTGTGGTAAATGGTACTAAGCTCATAATTACACAGCAACGCTGGTGAAGGTAAGGGTGTATGGTTTGGCAGATCTTATTGACGTTTAAATACATGCTATAAGAGAGAATGGTTTCTTGCATTTGGAATGTAAGTGGAGAGAGATTAGTCATCATACAATCCAGGAGCAGAAGGATTACAGTTAGATTTTTAAAAGAGCTATAATTGAATCCTAGGCTGCTGCTTGACATAAAGCTCTATTCTTGATGATTACTCAAAAAACCTCACCAAAATCACGTGACCTACATTTGTCAACAAACACCAAAAATGAAAATAAAGCAACACAAGTCTATTCTGTTTCCTACCGCAAGCAAACATGCAGCAATTCAAATAGACTTAAAACAACTACAGAACGGGAATTCAAGCATTTCTATTAAATAGTGTAAGAATAAATGTTCTGATAGAATTTTGCAAGTGGTTTGGATACTAACTGAGGATGCCCGCAAAACAAGTGAAATTGAACACATCAATAATCAGAGAAAAGGAATACAGATTATTACAATGGAAGAACTGTTAGGATCCATTATACTTTCATTTTCCCAGAATTCCAGATTTCCTCCAGAAGGAATCACTACTCCATTATTTGTTAGGAGCAAGAGAAGGGAAGAAAAAAAAACAAGACATCTACCATGATAGTTCAAACAGTATCTCATCACAACATCACTACTCATAATCCATAGAAAAAATCTGAAGCGCTCCTAATTTATGCAGTTAAGTCACAGGGACGCAATCAAATTTTAAGCTAAAAAACACATAAAATTAAGCAATTAATGTAATTTAAATGGGGGAGAGAAGGGTAAAATGGTACATGATGAGAGTATAATAGCCATACAATTTTTTTCATTTTCAAAGCAAGAATAAATTTTAAGACTTGAATTTCATTCCTAACAAAATATTAGCTGTACTTTCCATGCATTTACCACTAATTGCATAAAATATTTTAATAATCCAAAGGAAAATAGTTTGGGAATTGTGAAAAAAAATCTGTCATAAATCTCTGATATTTTGCAGAGATGAGAGTATTAAAAATAAGTTTTACAAGCATAACAGTATGCCCACACATTTATCTATCAGATCATTCTGAAATTACACTCTCCTTTGCCCTACAACACAACTGATTAATAAAATTAGCAGCTTGCAAACCAAATGCTGCTACCGCCAACATACACAGAATTCTTAAGATACAAGACCATAGCTCTGCCAGGATTCGCCTTCCTAGTCTTGAAATTAAAGGTACTCTGACACAGTAGAAACATTCAGGAAACATGCACCCTTTCCTCAACCCTATGTGCATAGTTGTGTAGAGATAGGTGTGTCTTCTTATGCGTCTGTGTGTGTGTATACATATGCACATTAGATATAAAAGAGTTACCTAAAGCTGTAGTAAAAATATACCGAATCTAAACTTTTCCTTCTTACTTATGAAAAGATGCATGTTCCACAGAGAGTTTTCTGAAGATCCTCCTGTCTGTCTTAAAGCACTAAAAAAGTAACATCAGTGAGAATGAGGTTACTGCCTTCATATACATTAAAGGCAAAGAACAATGCAGAGGGTACTTAGTGGAACATTATACATTTTGTGAGGTGGTTTTTTTTTTTTTTTGCATTTTGCTTACTTATATAGGCAAACGATTGAATAGTTTCATCCTGAACTTCCTTAAGATAAACACAGGCAAACAAGCAAAAAACCACTGTACTTCTGAGGACTAAGCCCTATGTAGCTCTGGTCTTTAAAACAGCCGACAGTATCATCAATGCACGGCCAAAACTAGTATCATCTGTCCTCTCTTTTTTGGAGAATCTTCAGCAAGATAAAGTAATATAAAATCAGAAAAGACCATTTTGTTGCTGCTACTAGAACTCATTAAATAGCAGGATTCAACAGGAGGAAGGGAAGCAATTTAAGTTGGAGCGAAACAGAGTGTAAGCATACATAGAATCTTCCTGGGAGACATCAGATGATACAAGCCTAGTCAAATTAACTTGTATTCGCTGCCACAGCAAATTTAGTTTCTATGATGCAACAATCTCATTTCTAGTTGAAACAGTGCAATCCAACTCCTACGTCCTAAAAAAACATCTACGCAGCTAAAGTTGAATTACTCTTTGATGTACCTCTCCCTTCTCTTGAGAGCTAGATTTAAAGAGAAAGGGTTTTGCAAGATCACTGAACTCTTTAAACTTCAAGAGGCGGTTAGGATCAATGAGTCTGTACAATAGTATTTTTGGCTTGTCATCCTTTTCTTTCTTTGTAGTGATTAGTGTGTCTAACAGAAAGCTTTAATCTTGCTAATTGGGAGTTATCGCCAGTGGTCCAAGAGGTTAGAAAGGTCTGTGGTCTGATGGAACCTACAGCAGCAAGTACTTTTTTGCACTGTCAAATTCCACACAAATTCTTTCACATTATGCAACAACAGCAATAAAGAGCCATAGCAATGAGATTCCAACTGTACGAGAACAACTTGAGTGGTCAGAGATCTGCTCCTTAACAGAGAATCAAACGTTAACTAAATAACCGGTGACATACTCGCAATATGAACACATTGCTGGAGTATTCTGATAGGGCCCAGCTAGGTAAACAACTATTTTTCTCTGCTCAGCAATACCAAGTTTGATGTAAGAACCTGTTCAGCTCCTGGCACTAAGTCTGTAGAATAAATCCATGTACTTTTTGCTTTTACGTTTCTAAAACTATCTCAGTTTACACCCCCACACATTTTGAAAACCTCTGAGAAACACATGCCACTCCCATCTGCTCTGGTGCTTAGCAGAAACACTAATTAACCTGCCTAGATATAGACAGAGGTATATGTAGTCTCATGTACAGGGCAAGAAATATGAATATTCTTTCAGGTTAGCTCATTCAGTAGTGACGTATATATTTTAGCCAGGAAAATCAGTTTTATTAATTTCTGGAACTGAGGGAAAGCAACTTGAGTACGACCTACAAAGAAGAAAAACTGATTCGCCACCGTTAGTATTAATCTATGGCAGAAAAGGTTTTAAAGGCGCCTTTTTTTTTTTTTTTTTTTTTTTTTTTTTTTTTTTTTAATAATAGAAATGCAGCTTGCCCCATCTACAGGACTGGCTGACAAAATAGTGAAATGCTGACATCAGGTGGGCCAAAAGGGTAGAACGGTGCTGTTAAGAAGGGAAAAATCCTTTCTTTTTTAAATAATTAATATGTATTCCACAACCAATTAATATTTTAAATGAAGAATGCATGCATTAAGTCTGACACTTAGATTCTTCAGTTGGGATGTTAACTCCTTATCCAACAGAATAGTCTTTCAGAACAAGCTAGGAAAGAATAGATTTTAGAATACTGGTAAAAGTAGAATTTCTTTCAAAGTATTTTCAAGAATTTATGGTGCATCATATGAAAGCAAAAACGGACAGAAGTCCAAGAGATTTCCTCTAAGATCGTCTTTTACACTAACCAGCAATTAGAAAAACTATCTAAAGGTAGGCAATCTATATGAAAAAGATTCATATTACTAATACATGAGAATGGAAAGGAGCCTTTATGCACGTTAAAAGGGAAATTTTAATTTTTACCTTCTTAAAAAAAGACTGTGGAAAACCATATTTATTTCTTGTGCTCTCTATTCAATAATACTCTGTGGTTGATATAAACAATTATTATGACAAATATTTTACATTCATGAACATGAATCGTCAGTGGCACACGGGCAACTCTACACACCTTCCAGAGAGTTGTTTAATTTCTTTTAATTCTTATGACACACAGATGAGGATTTTTTGGAAACAAGAAAAGAAAAAGCATCCAAAATTGATTAAAAAAAAGAAAAAAAGGCCTCATTTACACTAGTACTGAAGATCATTCTTTGTAATCCGATGAGCTCTAAAGTCTTTCTCACTTGAGATTTCTTCTTTCATCTCTGCAAATGCAGACCTTTTGGAAAGAATATCATTTGACTGACACAGGTAAAGCTATGATTTATTTTTTTAATTGATCTTATAATGACAGGGGAATAAGAATAGCTGGACTAACAGCTGCATCTATCACACTGAAGCTGGGGTTCTCAGGTTGATTCCTACCATAACGGCATAATATAGCAACTCATCTTCCCTCTCTCTTTTCTTTAAGAGTATATTGAAGTGAGATTGAGCTAAGGTAGCTTCTACTCAGAAATGCAGTAAATAGCATTGTACAGTGCCTTCCAAAAGAAGAACGAGGAAGTGACACATCGGAAATTTACCGTAGGAATCTTCTGATACTAGTGACCATACTAATTTACAAAGCCTTAACGTGAAGGGCAGTATTTTCTGGCTGCATGACTAAGTAAGCAGAAATGAGTGAAATAAAACAGACAGCAACAGAACCTATATGGAATAAAAGGATACAGAGCCGCTTTTTCAAGATCAGTTTTTTAGATCAAAACACAAACAGAAATTTCCCATCAACATCTGAGAATGACAAACTTGCTGGGTACTTCTTTCTGAATCCTTTCAGCAATATTCATTTTCACAACTCTTTTATAAGCAATCAAAAAAATTTAAATAAAAAAGTTTGCAAGTCAACTGACAAAATGACAGTCTCAAACTTTAAAGTCAGAAGAAATGCCTCTTCTCTTTTGAAACTTTATCCTAACAGAAAATAATGAAATCATAAGTATTTGAAAATATACAAATAGACAATGACGACAGACAAAGCCATTTTTCATTTTGCAGAAACATATTGCTAAACTTATAGCGCAGTGAGATTTTTTTGGCACTAGTTTTTCTTCTCTTTCCACTCTTGCAGTTGAATGCAAAACTGTCCTCAAGGCAAGGAGGGAATTTTGTTTACCTCATTAATCAGAGACTGCCTAAATAAAAATGGAGGAATCATTTTAATGAAGGTTATATCTCTTGCTCAGTCTAAAGAACCCTCCAGCTTCCACTGCCAAGTTAAAAATAAATGCAAAACAAAAAGATGCAGTGATTGGATCTAGAAATCTGTATCTCGTCTGTAGGACTTGTGATTAAACTATTTGGTTATATAATTGGCTAGCATACAAAGTTACATCTACAGTATCAAGCTAAAACTCTTTTGAAGTCTACCTGGACACTTAATTTGAGTCCAAGTAGCGTGCAGTCCTTCAATTATGTGTTTGACGTTTTTCTACATGTTCCAAAACAGTTCAAGACGACAGATTTCCTGATAGTTCACAGTCCCTGAATATAGTTCTTTATACACTTAGTTCTTATTTGCAAATTCATTTTTAAAAATCCAGTAGCCCTTCTCTGACAAGGCCAACCTTCTTGCTTAGAAGATCAGTTACTTTTTTATCTGATTCCTCCCTTCCTACACAACACAACTGTAACATTTTTGTGGCTTTGTTATTACATACAAGTTTTATATTGTAGAAAGTATTATCTAAACAACATTTCTTATAGTCTCACCAGTCAAAATGGAGATATATATTTGGACATTTCTTTCCTTCAAGTTGCATTCTTAGATTGGATTTGTTTTTCCAGACAGCTCCAGATGGCTGGAAGAATTCTGTACGCCACAACTTATCTTTGAACAAATGCTTTGAGAAAGTTGAAAACAAGTCAGGCAATTCTTCTCGGAAAGGCTGTCTGTGGGCTCTGAATCCAGCCAAAATTGATAAGATGCAGGAGGAGCTTCAGAAATGGAAGAGGAAAGACCCAGTTGCTGTAAGGAAGAGTATGGCAAAGCCAGGTCAGTAACATGTTAGCGTATTAGTTCTCAAACAGTGGTCCCCAGAATGTGTCTTTGCAATACGCACCAAGCAGCAGTAGAAGAGAATTTATAAATGGTTTAGGGAAATGGTTAAGAAATTTGCCTGGGATGACATGATTGGCAAAATGAAAAAGCAGAATTCAATATAACCTGGTTTGGCAGGAATGCTTTCAAATAGCCACAATGCTACAGTATGTTCTGAAGCTTAAAGCAGCACCAACTTTATCACTTCATCAAGAAAACATTCTCTCTTGATATGTCACTAAACCGTAAAACAATACTGAAATAAATACCAGGGAATAAAATTAGAAATTAACTAATGAGATAGATAACTATCCAATCTTTAAACTGGAACATGTAATTTATTAAATACTCACTTGACACTAATCAAAAAATATTACAGGCTTTTGGAGTACTTGTTCTAGGGGTTAGAATGAGTGGAATGGGAAACAAAAATGCATTTGCTGAAGAACACTAACATTCTAGCAGCAATATAAAGGCTCTGTTAGGAATAAGTAAAGTTATGGATTCTTTTCTTATTTTGTAGAAGAACTTGACACACTGATAGGCGATAAAAGTGAAAAGCTGAGCTCTTCAATCATGTCCTGCAGTCCAACTGGTGTTGCAAGTGCGTCCCTTTCCAGGCAGATGGCAGTCCAATCCCATTCCTTATGTGAGCCCTCTCTTTCCTCTGGTATACCACAGCCATTACACACTATCCATACATCAGGAGCTCTACATGTCAAGAGCCCATTACCAAATTTGCTCGGAGGACAGCAAACTGCATGCTATACAGCACCACAGGGTTTTCCTCAAATCTCAAGTACATTAATGCAACAGTCACCTGACCCTCAGACCCTGTTCCCTTCTGGGGAAACTCAGAATGAACTCAGAACTCAACCCAGCATCACCCAGGATTCTCCACTGCCTGCTCAGACCCCCCCCATCTGTGGAGTGAAGATGCTGACAGAGCACTCTACAGCCAGGACAATGCAGGACACACTTATGCAAGAAGGTGATCTCAGCAATGATATCGATGCTCTTAATCCAACCCTGACTGATTTTGATCTCCAAGGTAGGTATCCAAGGTATTTCTATTTGGTAGATTCAGGCTTATTGCATCACATCCCAAACCTGCCAAAAATTTTTTTTCCCTTCCAAGGTATCCTGCATAAATAAACACTAGCAGAATGAATGTATGATTCATGTCCTTTTTTGAACTACTTGCCCTTGCCACTGCTATAAAGGCCAGCATACTAGGTTACAATATTTTGCACAACATGGAATTTCACATTAAATCTTCAAAAAGTTTCCCTAGAAAGATATGGATTTAGATCCAAGTTGAAAAATATATATATATGTGCTCACTCTCTACTAAAAATGTTGGTATTAAATACTGCTATGCAGTATTTCAAATGTTTTTTTTTTTTTATTTATTCACATCTATTTTCCATTGGAAACTACTCAGGCACAATTATTTGATGCATATCAAAAGAATTATCATGGGAGGAACAGAAAGAGAAATACTTTTGATTGAATTTAACATATTTATACAAATCCCTTTCTTTTCTTTACTCTTTCACAAGTTTCACAGGGATTCATACGATCCATGGACTAAACAGTAATATTTTATGAAGGGTTCTTAAATACTTAGCCATGTAGTGCTGACACTGAAGTTGGGTATTAAATAGTGTTCAAATCTTATTAATTCAAAAATAAGAACACAGCTTTCCACTGCAAAAATAACCAAAACACACCAAGTTTATATTAAAAAAAAAAAAAACTCTGGTTTCCAAAATGATAAAGCTCTTGCTGCATCCAGTAACATGTAAGATTTGCCTTCCTGCACAGAGAACAAGTAGTATACAAAGCATCTAAAAGATAGAACAAAAATGCAGCTTTAATGATCTTCAGGACTGAGCAAATGCAATCACCTTGATAGTATATTATCACAAATATTACACAATCTAAGGCAATGCAGAACATTGTGAGACTACGTTCAACTGACGGCCATGCCCAGATTGCTTCACTTAAACTAACAATGCATTTTTGGAAACTTGGGCTTCTTCATCTTTCAGGCAGCAGGATCTGACATTCCATTCCTTTCTCTTACTCTCTTCCCATTTTAAATAACTATTGTTAAGCGTGCTCATCAGTATTCTGAGTATTTTGTGTGCTTGACCAATATGGTATGATTCCATCTTGTCTCTGTCCTTGCCTTTTACCCTAAATTACTTTCTTTTAGCTAGGCTTTTTACTTTCTTTCTTTCCAAAATTATCTAATCTCAATTTTGAGTTTCTAGAACTTAAGGCAAGGCCTTGTACACTGTCAAAATACACTTCGCACACCTGGAGCAAAATGACTGCACACAAAATAAATCAAACTTATTCAAGCAAAAGTACTAAACTTTATCCTATTTGATAGTCTATAGATAACATGCATAGTTTTGGAGCAACAGTCTCCCCACCACCACACCCACAAGAAAACCTTCAGTGACGAACATGAAAAATACAGCCCTCCTGTAGTAACTTCTATTTAGTGCTTTCACTGTGATATGCATATTCAGTGAAAACATGGGACACTTTCTAGAACACTTTATAAAAATTCACATTTCAGATCTTTTGTGAGATTCATCACATGTCTAGTAATTTAATTTGCAATTCAGATAAAGTTACACCAGAGGAATAACAGAAACCTAGTGGTGCAGTAATATTATTTGCAGATTTATCCCACAAATTCCCATTAGCTCTTTAATACCTTAACAAGATAACAGAGACAATTCCTCCTTTCAAAATTAGCACTTCTTTCAATTAGAAGTTATGCTACATTAGGTTACATTTGCAAAAGAATCTTCACAATTAACAAGTGAAACAATTCTCTTAAATTAACGCTTTCTCCTCAAATTTAAATTCATCATGGAGACAGACAAATTATTATTATGTAAAAAAAAAAAATTCCTTCCTCTTTTTTAATCAGAAGGGATTAGCAGTACCTATACAGCATATACAACTGTATAATTATTGATTTCTCCTATAAAACAACATTTCAGAAAGCTTATAGGAAGAAAGTTTAATCGATCCATTTTGTTTTGTTACAGGAAATCTTTGGGAGGAGCTGAAAGATGACAGCCTAGCTGTGGATCCCTTAGTTCTCATTTCATCATCCCCAACGTCTTCTCAGTGTTTCCCTTCTCATTGCCAGATGGATAACAGCAGCAGCAATAACGTCAACATTCAAAATGGAACTCCACACAGCAACTTACCTGATATACAGCTCGCTACTCTTTACTCTGCCTTTATGGAACTGGATACAGTGTCTCCTGCCTACTTAAGTAATTCTGGATCCAAACCTATAGCACTAATGTGAACCACATACCAACTTAATTGTAGTTATTTTGTCCAAATGCAGCCTTAACAATCACAAACGTTCACCTATTCTGATCTATATCAGCTACAAATGCTGAAACTGTGTCCATCTGAATAAGATGGATCTTTTTCCAGAACTCATCTGCAGGATATGTAGCTTTACTATAATAACTTTCTACTAATAGATACTAAAAAATTTGGAAACATTATTTAAGGATAAAATTTGTTAATGGCTATATTGGTCAACACCATTTTATCAAGTCATCTATCTTCTGCATCTTCCTGAAAAAAATGACTATAAGAAGAAAACAAATGACTGACAGATATTTTTTATGAAAGCTGCTTGCAAATGAACATAGATGTCAAGGCAAACAAAAATCTCTCTAACTTATTTCCTGATGCCATTGATGTCAATAACATCTGCTACAGATCACTACAAAATATCCACATATCAACAACACTTATAGTCCCCTTGAAACAAGTTCTGGATTTTGAGGAACAAGAACATACACTGAAAATTGTGCAAGTATTAGAAGATAGAGGACTAACTGCTTGGCAGACTAAAGCAAAGCAACAAATATACTTTAGTGAAAAGTTTTACTGTGTTTAAAAAGAAATTTAAAACTCTGCTTTTTTAATAAAAAAAATTTAGTATAATTCTTACTTGGCTGGAAATCATTAATTCCTCTATTTGTATCCAGATGAGCTGAGCAGGAAGATGAATTATTCAAACATTAAATCACAATTTTGAAAAACAGTAATTAAAAAAAAAAAAAGAGGTAGCGCAGACAATTATTTTTGCAGATAGCCAAATCCAGAGATCATCTCCGTTTTAATGTCCAGCTGATATTTGATGAAACCAGAAGTGTTTATAATTATGTAGAACTAGCCCTTGCACTAGGATGGCATATGGTTCCTAATGCAAACTAAACTGAGGCATTTCAGTAAACAGTTTCTCAGGATCACTCTCTTCTCTCTGACTTACCATAAAGCTGCTGTTTGTCACATGATAGGAGATCAATGTTTTATTCTAAGTTAAGCTATTTAAATACAAAGCAATTTGAAGTAGGAGCCTTAAAACAACGCTAAGGAATATAGTCTAAAAACCAAAAAACTATGAAAATAAACTTCCTTGGATGCTACCCCTACTCATATATTATGAAAACTCAGAAAAATCTAAGCAGGTTAAAAATTGAGTCAGATTGGATGACTTACACTGCAAAAAGGCAGGAAGGAGTTGTAAAAAAAAAAGGTACAGACCAGGCAGAATTGCGAGATGGTATTGTTATAATAAATACATCCAGGTTTGCTTAGCCTGCTTTCTCACATTAAGGTGGGAGTACTGCCAGTTAGGACTGAGGCCAAACCTGAGCTCAAACCTATACTCTCAGCCATGCCTACTAGCCCAGACTTAAAACTCCTTCAAGATCAGATTAGGGACACACAGATAGAAGAATTCGCAAGAATGCATGTGACATGACTTTGCAACCCTTTCTGCAGTTATCAAGGACTGCATACACAACTTGAGCAAAGGACTCTGCATTCCAGCAAACTGAATACACAGTGCAAGAAATGTAGTCAAGCTTGTCAAGCAGTTCTATGTAAAAAAAAAACAAAACAAAAGAAAAACAGCAGGAAGAGTAATGCAAATGTACTAGGGCTAGGAGCATCATAACAAATCACTAAAAACGTGCATACAAAATGATAAGCATAAAGCATATACTGAGTATAAAGCTTGCTGAACCTTATGTGCAGTATAATTTTAAATTTGCCGTGATGTGAATAACTACCAAGTACAAACTTTAAGAGCAATAATATTATCCTAGATATCTTTCTGAAGAAAACGTGTATCTTAATATACCCATGGTCTGAGAAAAAACAAAACAAACCCAACCTCCCTGCACTGCACTCAGGTAGCATGCTTCGTACTCCCCCTGCTGGCTCTGCAACATCTGGCTACTACTATCCCTTGAATCCCACCAACAAACGTCACTCTTAAAAAGCCTTCTACAAAGGGAGAGGAGAGGGTAAAAGAGCAACACTTACTTAAACTAAATGAATAAAAACGTGAACAAAGACGTTTCAATGTTCAGCTTACGAGGAACTATGGAAAACGTAACAAATCCTATCAAAGTTTGTAAGCTTCAGTGAAATCTTGGGTACAGTTTTTAAACGTCCATTTAACTTTATGGGTCTTTCCTTCTGGCAATTTAGAACTGGAAGCTTAGTAAAGCTCTAATTAACAAGACACTGAATACACCTATTACATAGATGGACATAGCCTGTATAGCTTTTTGAAACAATAGCAGATACAGGTACAAACACATTCTGAAAACAAAGACCACAATTCAGTACAAGGAAAGGGCTTGCAGGATTAAAAGAAAAGAACTTCAATTGGTAAATAACGTTAGCTTCAAATATTGAGTTGTTTACCACAGACCCGTCTTATACTAAAGGATCAGTTCCAACAAATCCGTACACTTGTATGCCATCTCTCCGACTTCCATAGAACACAACACAACGGTGCCAGAGCCCCCACATTGGAATGGGACCATCTCTCCTGGCCTTGTCAAATCGCTCACACACATTCTTAGCTTCAGTGAATAGTCACACTGACCTCACTGGAACTTCTGAAAACAGCTACCTCTATTATTAAGGATTTTTCAGGATAAGACTCTATCCATTTATAGGTCCTTCACTGCAAACACTGATGAGTTGGTACACAGTTCAAAATTTTCAGAGGCATGTATAGGAGTGAGACATTCAGTTCACAATGATTTTCAAAGACAATTTGCATCCAAATTCTTGTTAGCCCTTTCTAAAATCCTTATAATGTTGCATATAGGTTGCATACAGTAAACTATATTATGGCCAATATAAAGAACGATACAGGACTTTGCCAGATATTATGCTAAGAAATAACAGTCATCTCAATATTTTATATTCGGCAGAGGGAGATGATTTCAATGAAACAGATGAGAGCTACTACAGAAGGGTACCAGGAAGGTCCATCACTGTCTAAAAACACAGCAAAATTGTAATAAAATATTTGTGATAAAAGCAAATCCTTGAGACTATGGCACATGAAAAATCCGTTAAAACTGACAGCATGGTTCTGGACACTGTCTGAATTTCACCAAGATGAGCTATGTATCTGCTACAGAAACTCCAAAGTCAATGTTACTACAGATGTTACATCAGGAAAAGCTAAGCTTTCTTTTCCACGTTAAAAATTCATATTTTATGGGCACAGCAATTCATCCATGTTTTGTAACTTCATGTGTGTCATTCATATATTGTCAGATCTGTGTTTAACAGGTTATGACATTCTCTCAGATGCACCAGTTTAAACGAGCAGTAAGCGTGCCCTGATATATTGTATGCATGGGATCACACATACGACCACAAGGTGGGGAGGGGAGGGCAAGACAGAGAGGGAGAGACACAGACAGAGAACTAAGTCTCATACTGTATTCTGTATCTTTCTCGGTAATAGTATTTGAAAAATGACCAAAGGACAAAAGGAAAAGAACACTGCAACATGTTTTTTCTGGTGTTTTTGCTTGACTTTCTTGACATACTGTATCTACACAAAAGAGGCAGATTCTTCTTACTTTTCAGAAGAATAATCCTTATCTTGTCCAACTACTTTTTAAATTATTTTTGACACGGTGCCTAAGATAACGTAGGCTACAATTCCTCAAGACTTCTGCAGCTAGTGACACCTTATATTGTACCTAACATGAAATAAGTATTTTGCACACATTACAAATCTATTTAAAATAAATTTGCATTAAAAACTGTTTCAAGTAGTATTCTAAAGCAGGAGGGAAAAGAAGGAAAAGAATAAAATGAAGTTTTCCCAGTCCAAGGCTAACGATGCTTGCTTAATCAGTCTAAACCAAATACATTATGCAAACAGCCGTTTCTGTCAAGGAAAAAAAAGAAAGAAAGAAAGAAAAGAAAAAGAAATTCTTAAGTATAGTTACCATAGAAATAACTCATTACCAGACAGAAGAAAGTGCTCACTGTCACTCTCTCCAATATACGATTAGGTAAACTTTGCATTCAAAAGTTCAGAATTTATTAGTTTATTTTTTTACTGTGTATTTCATTTAAACTTCAGAAAATTCTAATAATAGTAATTTATATCGGAACTAGGTTTTTCAAGTTCTTTTTCAGACATGAGCTCAAATTTACTGTTACAAGACTTCTGGCTAGAGTAAGCTCTCTCCCATATATTTTTCTGTTCTTGTTGTACAACCATCATCTTCCCTGAAGATTCATTTGCTTTTGTTGTTATTGTTCTTTTTAGATATGTTCACAATCTTTCAAAAACCTGGCACAGCACTGAGCTACCTAAAAATGACACTAATTAATAAGTATTACAGAACAGATAAAGTATTAAATAGCTCATCAATGTTATTTCATGTCTCTTTAACAATTCCTTTGCACATAAGAGTTTGTCAACAAAAGTGCAACTGATTTGTTGACACTTTCAAATAACATTAAACTACTGACTGTAACAAATATTTGGATTCTAGGACTTAGCTACTCAATGCTGATGCTCCATTTTTCTAATATTTAAATCAGATTTTCATGTTTCTGTGTAAATACTTGCACATAGACAACCAAATATCAAAAATAGTAAATACTTTCACATAAGTCAGCTTTTGCTGACTTCTTAATCCATTTCTGGTCTAAGACTGGAAACCAGCCAAAGAAGTACTACATAGTTTATTTGTCTCGTTCCCTGCAATCCTCAGTACAATAATGCAATTGGAAGCTTGAGACTAGCAATTCCCATGTATTTGAGAACAACTGTTTTTGCTCTTCACCAAGCTAATGAATAATCGAGTCAGTTCATAAAATAAAATTTAAATCTAGTCCTTCCCAGCAGCCTAGAAGGTAGATTTTTTTGTCCAGACAAAGAAACAAACATGCTCAAACAATACTTAGTTTGCACGTTACCAAAAATTAACAGCAGTTAGTACACTGTTGATGCAGATTGGGTTTATTTCCTCTGTTTCTCAGTCAACTAGAACACAGATGAAAGAAAGAGGGTGATGCTATATGATATCCATATAACAAATGCTGAACAAATTATGAACCAACAGAGCTCAGTGAGTAGCTACCTGTGTGAAATCATAACCAAGTAAGAGCCTTCCCTGGTGGCAGACAGCTCAGTGCTATTCAGCATTTTAAGCATAATAACTTTTTGTCTGTTGTTATCTTTCTGAAGGTTCCTTTAGTTGAGCACATTTAAGTAAGTTTGGGCTCAATACAGTGAAGGGCACAGAGATGATAAGTAGGAAGCTGGACAACCTAGCAGTCTTTTCTAGGGTTAATCTCTCTGAATCAGCAAAAGCCAGAAGGTGTCAACAACTGCTGGAATTAGTTTCCAAGAACGTGGGAGTTCACATTAACTTTCTGGCAAAACATTTTCAGATGTAGAAAGCGTGCTACACGTCTCAGGGTCAACATACTGGTGGGCAGAGCTGTTAAAGGTGCTAGCCTGCAAACCTCAAGTAGTTCAGCCATTTAAACGAGAATTAAAAGTGTTGAAACATACTGCAGTTCAGATGAACTTAAGACTTCCTGTTTTGAATCTAATCAATTTTTGACCTGGGCACAGAAAAGAGTAAAAACCATTAAACTTTTAATCCCAGCAAAAGTAATTAGGCCCAGCTGCATTACAAAGACCTAATTTGCAGCGCTACTCAATTTTCTTATTAACACTACGGTCACCAGAAAAGGAGTTACGCCAAGGAAAGACCAGCACGCACGAGCGGGATGGATGACAGTCTCTCAAGCTCGGCCTGAGGTGATTTAGTGAGATCCCACAGCCGCCAGCTTCCCAACCCTCAGCGGCATCCGCCCGTC